GACTTCACACTGGTCTTGAACGAAATGTAATTAAGGTTAAGGATCTGTTGACACCTTTGCAAGAATCCTCAAGTAACAAAACGTTCCCTGTATCATATGAAGCACGATATGAGGCGGAAGGACTCCCTGCTTTGTGTTGGTTATTGTTCCAATGGAATGAGGGGGATGTGTAAGGAGTGTGTATAGCGATTTGGACATGTTGGGGGCTACCCTCGGTCTCATTTCTTGCTGGAAAACCCTGTGTTAACGACGGTACCTTGCATACAGTCTAATCCCTGGTAACCTGCAGCACAGGAGCATCCATATGGGTCTGGTAGACAGAACAAACGCCCTCGGCAAGCATCATTGTGTGCATCATTGCTATTAGAGCATCGCTGATCAGCAGCTTTACCAAATACATGACGACCGTGAGCTGAAAACAGCACCAACAATGTGGATTACAATTCCGGATGGACCATTTTTTTAATGTGAATTAAGAATAATAGAAGCAGATATCCTTATCTGTGTTCAGGACTCATTACTTGAAGTGTGTGATGTTATTCCGCTTGTCATTATATGCCACTCTTGTTAAATCCCAACTCAAATCAGATTTTCTTTATGCAGCGTGTTAAAAATGAAATAATAACCAGCACAGTTGGTAAATATGATCCCGTTCCAGTGCTACAAAATACAGCAGTTGATTTTCTTGGTTTTGTAATGAGGAAAGCCATGTTTTCAAAGCCTAGGTAAGATTAAATACATCTGTTATGTAGAAAGAAGGCGGTCCTAAGTTGAAAGAAAGAACCTCTAATTTGTTCTCTGACACCCGTATTGAACGCTTTGGAAAAATATTAAACTTGTGAGTAATCATGGTAAAGCTTTGGTAATTCTCCCACAGTTGTAATGAATCACTGGTTTTTACGAAGCGAGTCGAGTCAGTGTGACGTAGTAACTAGAGTGGAGTCCTTGTAATATAGAGACTCTGGTCAAGTCTAATCATGAGACAAAACGTTCAAGTGACTGGAGCCCGGTCGAGTCAAGTATTTAACTTAGTCAATTGGATTCAGCAATACTGGATCATAATACGATGAAGAGTCAGCTTTTTTGGGTTATTAAATTCACCTCTTGCTTTCTCCATCTCACACCACATCTTACTCTTGATTTTAACAACACATGCCAGGACCTTTACAAACCAGCACTGTAAGTCATTGAATACATTGTTTTCGCAAAGTTTACTTTCATTTTTGGGACTGGAGTGTTATTCAATTTCACTCAAGTCGGGTTCTCTGAAATCGAGTCTAGTTGAAGCATTTGCTCGCCGTGACTTCGAGTCGATTTACCTTTTCTGACGCAAGTCGAGTCAACAAAAATTTTGACGCCAGCTGGACGCAATTTGAGTCATTAATTTAATTCAATAAAACTCGGAGTCACGTCACTGAATTGTAGTTACTCGAGTCAAATAGAGTCATTTGACAACATGAGCCAACAGAGTTACAGGTGTTTGAACAAAGCATGATACGTGGAAACATATATTTTTGCACTATACAATTAACCTCGAGGGTATGGTACTACATGTTGTCACAGTTTTCCCGAAGAGACAATGTTTTCGTCGGGTTGCAAAACATTTTTAGCATTCTTTTAAATTCACCAATGCTACTCCATGAAGGAGGGGATGACACAAAAATACAAAACAACTATTGCTACAAGTTAATTAAAGTGGTTATTTTGTAAGTAAACAAAACTGTCTGTTCGTGAAATGCTAAATTTTGGGTGACTTTTAGTCTCTTTCTCATGAAAACGGCGCACAC